ATATTCATTTAAAGGGCGGTGGTCATCGTACCGCGCATGTGCGACATTTGTGTTGATAAACTTTGATTTTCCCACAATCCAATGCGCTCTTCTATTGAAAATCACGAGTAGTAGTTTTGACCTGGGTTTAACGTGCACTAATTACCGCAGGCGACTTCTTCGTCACCTTCCAATCATCAAAGAAATTACCAAGTTAAAGATTGGTAACGTCTTAGTTTGCACTCGTTGGTCTGCTCAACAGTCAATGTCGCCATCATTTAATTACTGTGAGCAAAGGCTGTGTGTGGGATGAAATCTAGACTCTTAGTTACATCAATGACGCGCTGAAAATGTAGTATACACGGCTATAGTTTAACTCGCCGACATAAAAGAAGCCCGAATACGATACCTTCTTCGTTCATAAATATCGTTCATAAATCCCCATGTCCTACAAGTCCTACAATTCAGCACCTTGTATCATGAGTTTGCTGGACACAGTGGACCCGATCGTGTAATCATGTGCTTTGCAACTTCAAACTGACCGTTTCTTTGCGAAAGTGGGTGGCGTGTACTGTAGACACCTAGTTACGTTACTAGAGTTTAAAAACGTGGCGTCCCGCCAAGACCACATCGTCGTTCCACATTGCGTCATAAATTTGCTCATTACACTGGATACAAGGATAATTACATATCTGGGGACTTGCGATCTTTGGATATAAAAACTAAACAGTAAAGAGTAGTATAGTGATGATTCAACTCAATCCAACTCTTCTATCATGTACATTGTAATATTTTGAAATTTATGACTATTCTGTTTTTGTATAGTTCAATAACAAAGACTGTAACTCACTGATTGGCTGTTATGTTCTGGTTTCTTGGTAAATAATTAATGAACATATTTTACTATATTGATACTTTATGTCAGTAATAATAATTTATTTTATTAAATAACCTTGGGCATCAAAAACAATGAGCATGTTTCCCTATTTGATACTAGCGTTGTACGATATATTCTGTAAGGAAAGTATGCGTGATAACGCCATCTAGTGGCAGACCGTGAATCCATAAAATGATTTACTTCCTTTTCGGTTCAATCTTCTGTACATAAAAACCTATCTTTACTATTGCCTTATATTTTCGTCTGATATAGTTCCATGTTTATCGATTATCAGCGGATGCATTATATGTACATGAGATTTGGCACAGAACATTGAAAGAATAGTCACTGTGTTTATGTTGACACATATGAAAAAAATGTTACAAGGTATGTACGCCAAGTGAAGGATGTAGGGCACGACTGTCAGTTGGTGTTACAATGACAAGTTATGAACTAGTGTTATACGAAATTTACATGTTATCACCCTGTGTTATGTTGTTACATACTATCAGCTAGTGGTATAGAGGATGTACCTTCTATCAGCCAGTATTATTAGAAATGTACATGTTATCAACTGGTTCTATTGGAAGTGTATACAATTCGATGTTAGATACAGCACGCCACTTATCTGAATATTCTACATTTCCGAACAACTCGCACGTGCTGTATCAGCTGATAGTTGCCACAGAGACGAAAGTGCGACTGCTCTCTTCTCGGTGACGTTGGAATAAATGCATAATTATGGATAATGAACGAAATCTAGGCCCCATGCCAATAATTTGAAATAAAAGCCACGAAATAAAATCGTTAAGTTAAAATGCAAAACGTTTGGCGGTATATTTCTGCTAAAATATATTTGATAACTAATAAATCAATTTATTCAACAGTGTGTTCAAATACAGCGTGCTCGACGCCTGGTCGCGGTTTGAACCTCATAAAGTGACGTTTTCACAAGTTAGTCAAATAGTCCCATAATTTATTGAATAAAACAGTGAAAAGACAGTATATAGGTTAATACGGTAGTACATATGCTGTACCAATGTTTGTCTAAATAAATTACCCGATGGCCAGTTTCATTAATTAAAGTTATCGAAAAGTAATTTCGTGTTTAAACTTAATATGTTATCTATGTTATCTAAGTGCAGTATGTCAAATAGTTCCAATAAATTGACGGCAGCCTGTCTGCAGTTATTTGGTTGTTGCTAGGAAACAACAAGAGATGAAGACGAAATGATATGCCGTCGTCCAGTCTACATCGTTACTAACGTCCAATGCAAAGGTCATCCGCAGGATTGAAAGTGTGAAAAAAGAAAATAGACCGCCTGGTAATCCCTTAGTTACATATCATGACGCTTAGTTTTTATGACTATATTGGCAATTTCAGTCACAATACTGCTGAGCCAGACGACTGATGTAAATCTATATCTCGACGTCTGCCTATTAGGAGACCGTAGAAGGGGTGTTATTCGCACACGTTCTCAAAACAATCATTGATGAACTTTATGTGACCGGTTATTCTGGGATTGGATTTTGACACGCGACGGGGCCTAGTGCACCAAGATCAGAGATCTTGCAGTCTATGCTCTACACCAACTGAGCCGCTTAGTGACCCAATTAGTCTTGTCGGAGTGGCCTCGTGATTGCAGGATATTGTCCTCCAAATAGCGCAGGTGTTGGTCGCTGCTGGAAACACAGTAAGCATATATTCTACAAATTCTAATCATTCTTGTTTGATGGACAGACTTATATACGGGGCGCAGATCGGTTCATCGATTCCAACCCTAACACTGGGCATGGATGTCCCCGAATTAGTAGAATTGGCCTGAAAGTCAAGAGAAGTGTACTCCACGTGAGGCCAATTATCGTATACACATACTGCATTTTATCACATCCACATCACGAAATGGGGAATAAGGTCTCCAGCGCTAAGCAGACTGGAGATGTTGCTCCGGTTCAACGCGAGGTCAATACAGTTAGAAGCCGGTAACTTTGTATGCGTTCGAAACAGTGCGGCTGACATGGCATTGCAGCGATATGCATTTCACATTGGACCACCAACTGGGCGAATCTGGACGTGTATGCATTCCAACAATTTCCGATGATTCGTGTTGCTTTTTTGAGAAAGTTCTGGCAAAACCGAAAATCAGAATGACGGCAGCTATTCATACACATTTAATATGTCTCTGAAAACCAATTTTATTCATAACGCTTAATATTTTTGTAATGAATGTTGTGTTATATTAATTAATGCTTATAATAACAGGAATTCGACTCGATTGGTTTTATACTCGTAAGTTATACTGAATTCATAGTTAAATTTTCTTGTCGTTACTTGCCCTTATTATAGAAAACTGTATCTTTCATATTTGTATTGATTGATTGGTTTACATACCGATGTGCACTGTGTTCTCACTGGTTTCATTATAATTGCATGTGTACCGGCACGCTGATTGCGTATACGAATCCGGGTAATATGATTTGTACTACGACCTCCACAATATATTTTATTATGCGAACAAATGTTGTTAGTATGTATGTACATGCTTAGAGGTTGATTGATTTAGAGGAATAATGATGGCTTCCATTTTTACTGCTGCGATGGAATACTCATCAACCATTCGAAATCCCGTATAGTAAAGGGAACGATGTAGCATATTGACATATATATTTGCAAACGAATCACCGAATTTGTAAGAATATTATTTTTTTACGATTTATTCATAATTATTTTTAACGTCTTCCAATAAAACACAATATATTCCTTATATTTAGTGAATACAAAATGAAAATTGTTCAAAAACATAATATCATGCCCGGTCATGTCATAAATAAAATATTGAATTTCATTTATATTTGTTGCAGTTTGAAAATTTGTGTGAAGAGTTATTTGATTTTTGTAAATATCTCGTCATATGTAGAATATTGCAATATCAGACTACTTTATGCGTCAATACATGATACGCAATAATAACCAGTTATTACTTTTCTGAATAAGTTTGACACATTCAATGAAGCATTAAAAACAAATGCATAATCAATTATCACTGAGAGTATTTTTTTTCTCTGTATTTTGAGTTGATTTAGATTTGTTTGAGCGTAAATGATTTACGTATATGTCATATGGCTGATTAATTATTTATTGAATCTACGAGTAGATGACGTTATGCCACAAGCCCATTTTTGCACGCCTGGTCGGTCTTACAATCATTTCAACTTATTAAGTTATTTAAATAAAACTGCCCTAAGATGTTTTAAATTGGTTGTATGTTGTTTACTGAGGAATTCACGTGAACACAATTTGTATGTGAACAGTTACTAGAAGCAATGAAAGAAGTTTATAAGGATTGATATAATATATGTATTCTATTAAACATATATTTTATAAATAAATTGTACTTATATCTCCTTTTTATTGTGAAGATTTGTGTTAATAATAAGTAGTCGACAGACAACTATAGGAAAACGTTTTCACGTGAAATAATGCGAGTTGTTATTGTAGAATCTAACCTTTAA